GCCTGGGAGATGTAGTTCCAAGGATCAGGCTTGCAGGGCAGGGAATACTTACAGGCCACTCACAGATTCCCTGAGTTTCTGCCAAAAGCCTTCTGAGCATTCCTCTCATCTCTTCCCCTGCATGTAAGACTCTATCTTGGCCTAGAGCCAAGCTTACCATCCAAGGTAGTGCGGATACAGTCCACGAGGGATCTGGGAGGCCACCAGGCAGGTCCCCTTCAGCTGCAACCCCTTCCTTTTATCCCCATGATGCTACACAAATGAAAATTTCTCTGTGTACAGAGAACATCTGTGAGGCACAAATGTTTGGGATGCACTACTCTAAGAAAAAGTTAAGCAAGAGGGGTTGAAGGGAGCGCAGTCTGTAGAGGGGAGTTTCTCCTCCTGGAACAGAGAGGAGCTATCAGAGTGAGGCAGCCCCAGACTACCTGGGAGCAAAGGAGGGAAGCCACTCAGAGAGGAAGCAGAGGAACTGAGGCAGGAAACGGTGACCTTATCTGTCTTCCTCATGGAACCTTGAACACAGAAGAGATTTTTCAAAATAAAACCCAAAATCGAGCTGGCCTCAGGTTTTGCTTACCTCTGATGTCCTGTGTCTAAGCAGGGTCCCCCTGCAGCTCCCAGTGTTCCTTCTTGCCTGGACACCAGGATGGTTGGAACTGATCAAATCAACCAGAAAGAAATCTCATCCAGGTGGCACCACTGAAGACAATGCTACTCCCTGGACCTAGCTGGAGCTGAGACTCAGCCCTAGCTTTACTTAGAAATTCCCCAGAGATGATCTCTACCAAGTCCAAATTGATGGAGGAAGCTCGCCCTGCCCTCATCCAGCCAGCACCCTGAAATTCTCTGATTCACTCATTTGTAAAGGGATCAAAAAGGCTTGTCCTGTGACTGCAGCCAAATACAATGACTACCATATCTAGGACCAAAAAGTGAGGACCTGGGACACCTGCTATCCTCCACCTTGGCAGCTTCAGGACAGCATACCAGTAGGGGAAGGGACGGATGCCCTTCCCATGACCCAGAGCAGTCTGGGGTCCCATCTAGAGCCCCTCAACTCAGTATTTTTGATCAATTGCTTTTTTATGCAATGCTCATTTTGTTAAAAATATTTTATCAGAAATTTTTTTTCTAAATTAAGCATGGTGGCACACACCTATAATACCAACACTCTAGGAGGCTGAGGCAGGAGGACTGCAAGTTTGAGCCTAGCATGACAATTTAGTGACTTAACACAACCCTGTCTCAAAATTTAAAAGGGCAGCAGTGTAGCTCAATGTGAAGGCCTTAGGTTCAGTCCACAGAATCACGAAAAAAATTACTGGGGCAAGATTCACCTAGCATAAATTAACCACTTTAACGTGTGTAATTTAGTGACATTTGATATATTCACGATGTCATCACTGCTTCTCGGCCTTTTGGCTAAGATGAAGTGCATTCACAATGTCATGCAAACACAAATTTTATCTAGCTCCTAAAAATGTTCATCGCCCAAAAATGAAGCCCTGTACCCACTAAGCATCGCTTCTCAGTCCTCCCTCCACCCAGCCCCTGGACATTATGGGTTTGCCTATGGTGCATAGTTCACATAAATGGAATCATATAATACATGCCATTTGTGTTTAGCTTTTTGTCACTCATAGTACTTCTGAGGTTCATCCACCTGATACCTCATATCAGAATTTCATTCCTTTTATGGTTTAATATTCCACTGGGAAAATGCTGTGCACCGTATGTTGATTCATTCTTCAGATGATGAAGACATAGATTGGTTCCACCCTTGGACTCTTACTGCAAATCATGTTGTGTTGCCACAAGCATTGATGTTTATGTTTGTCTTGAATGTAGATTTTTAATTTGAGGTACATATCCAGGAGTTCTGTTCATTTTTAGAGTATTTGAGGGAAAATAAAATACTGGCATAATAGAAAATTGAGGATATAAGTAAAATAGAGCATTAAAAGAGAACAAAGGAGTATATGCTAACAGAACAGATGACCTAATTCTCACCATCAGGCATTTAACACACTCATGGGTTTCCTGGCAGCTAAAGTGAAAAGGGAAACAGATTGCATTACTCCAAGTCATGCATAGAGATAAACATTTTTTCCCCTGCCATTAAATGCAGAAGGGCATCTGTAACATGGATCCTTGTATCAAAGATTAAATGTGACAGTGTGGGAAATGTATTCTTTATATTTCTGCAAGAGACAGAAATGTTCTTCAAATCAGTGGTGGTTTTTTTTTCTCTCTTTTTAATCAACTCTATATGGATTGTGAACACATTTAAGCTGTAATTCAATAAAGTCAATTTTGTAGGCTACAACTAAGAAAATATGGTCCAGATACATTGCTTTCTAAATACTTAATTTCATACATGAATCAAATGTGAAGAATCCCAAAGAAATAGCCATTGAGGTAACCACTAACAGTCTCCAGCAGTTCACATTTCCAGCAGGCCTCTGAGTTTTTTAACAAAGCCCGATGAATACGAGCCAATGAAATGGCAAGACTTTAATTTAGACATGAAATGTGCAAGATGGCTGAGGCAGGAGGATTGCAAGTTTGAGCCCCGCCTGGGCAATTTAAGTGACTCAACGAAACCTTGTCTCAAAATAAGAAAAAAAAAAAGTCTGGGGATGCAGCTGAGTGTGAAGGCCCTGGGTTCAATCCCAATATTGATAAAAAAGAAAGAAAGAAAAGATGCTGCTCCACCGTGGACGTTTACAAGTCACCTCCATGTTGGTGACCCTGGTTCGTACCTGACAGCACTGTCACTGGGACCTGCCCGGCTGCAGGTCCTTATGTCCTTCGTTCTCCTGGCTCCTTCACTCACCACCACCTGGCTCCATATGAGCTGTGGCGGTTGCTGATCACAGACCTGCAGGACCCCAGAGCCAGCGCTATGTCCCACATCTGCAGCTGTCACGGGTCGAGGGAGAATTCTCAGACCAGCTGAGAACTGTGACTGCAGGGTCACTCAGGGCTCCTGCCCCAGTTGGGACCAACTATACCCTCACCCTTTACTGAGCAGAAGTGGCTCTGAAAAGCCAGCCACAACCAGGTGCCCTAGACCTGCTTTCTGCAGCTGTCCGCCCTCCCCTATCCCCCCCAAAAAGGCCTCCCCCTAAGGCACATCCCTTGCTGCCACCCAGGACAGGGATGGCACTGCTTGGGAGAGTTCTGTCAACCCCCTTAGAGGAGCCCAGGTCATCTCCAATCCACATCCTCCTTCCCCTGCGGAAGCCGAAGACCAAGATCTCCCCCTCTCAGGAGGCCTCTTCTCACTCTGCTTTGCTGGGCTGACTCTAGAGCAGCCCCGGTCCCACTGATCCGAGTCTACAAATCACTTCAGGATAAGAACTATGTTTAGTGGTGACCCCAAATTACCAGGGAGTGAGGTGACCTCAGCAATGCAGGGTTTGAGGTTAACAAGACTGACAGAAACTCTTAGGACCTGTGAGTCCATGAAAACCTGCTTAACATCACTAATCATCAGGGAAATGCAAACTGAAGGCTCAGTATCACCCATATCCTTAGTATGGCCATTCTCATGAAAGACACAGTAACAAACATTGGTGAGGACGCGGAGCCACTGGAAGCTTTGTGCACAGTAGCTGGGAAGATATAATAGTACAAATGCTGTGGAAAACAGCATGAGAGTTCTTCCAAAAATTAAAAATAGATTTAGTGTATGATCCACCAAAGCCTCTTCTGGGTACATATCTAAAAGAATCAAAAGCAGGCATGGTCTCAAGGAGATACTTGCACACCCACGTTCGTAGCAGCAATAGTCACCATAGTCAGAAGGTGCGAGCAACCTGCATGTCCATCAGAGGACAAGGCAGCCAATCCATACACGGAATGGGATATCATTCAGCCTTAAAAAGGAATGGACTTCTGGCACAGACGGTAACATAGATGAACTTTGAGGACACTGTGATAATGAAATGTCAGTTGTGAAAAGACAAATACTGTATAATTCCATGCAGATGAGGCACCTAGAGTGGTCACAGTCACGGAGACACAAAGAAGAAAGGTGGCTGCCAGGGATGGGGGGTCATCAATGTATACAGCTTTGTAATTCACCATTCACTTTTGCAAGATAGAAAGAGTTCTGGAGACAACAATTAAAATAAATGTTACTGCGATATAAGTTAAAATTGGGTAGGATGGCATTTAAAGACTCATGTTCATACTCCAGGCTACCACAGGGCCACCGTCCTGGAAGATGGGGATGTCAGCTCTTCCTAAATGTCTCCAAGGGCCCCAGGATACCTCTGACCCCCAAGCTGAGCCCAGATGTGCTACAAGGAGCCAGGTATGTTGCACAGCATCCCTGCACAACACACGGTGGCATCTGCCGTTAGTGGAAACCTGGGCACTGTGAACATCTCTGTGCAGCCTCTACAGAAAATACAGGGAAAAGAAACTCAATGGCCAGGATGCTGGCAGAGAAGGCCCGGGCAATGGGGCCAGCAGACCTGGATTTCAGCCCTGTCTTGGACACTCCCTAGCTTTGTGACCTGGCACAACTTATTAGATCTCTGAGTTCAGAGCCCTCCTCTGTCCACTGGGATGACAGTGCTCTCCAACCAAGTTGTTCTGGGAGGTGAGAGCAGGCTTGGGAGGAGTGGGCACAGAAAAGGCCTCAGTGAGTGGGGCAAGGAGGGAGAGGAGGAGTCTGAGTTTTAGCCACCACAATCTGCCAGGGCTCACGGACCTGCTGACTGCAGAGCCTGCGATCCTGGAAGGTATCATGCCCAGGCACACGTGACTGTGCTGCCTATGCCCCCTGTACCTGCTCCAGACCTTCCCCAGCCTCAGAACCTGGACCTGTTTCCCTGGTGCCACATTAAACCAGTGGGAAGCGGGGCTGTGGTGTGTCCAGGGCTCCCCTGGCCTTCACCCATATCCAAACCCACCTCTTTGTATACCCAGCCTGTGCCCACCGAGACCTCCCTCCACTCCAGCAGTAAAGACTATCTGCACCAAGAAGACATGAGATCACCCACCTGGTCTCCCTCACAATGCAGCCAGGAGGACAGATACCATAGCAACAACCCTAGCAACAATGACAGCAGACAACCTCTTGGCCACAGAGCCATGGGAGCTTTGTCAACAATGACGAACCCCATTTGGAGGAAGAGCTTCTGGGGCCAGGGCACCCACAATGCATAGGATGGCATCTGCCCATGCACAGGGGGAGCCCATTAGCCAAGTCCAGTGTTCCACTTCAACATCAAAGCAAAACAACCAATGGAAAAGGACAGGAGAGCTTTGAAATCCCTTTGATACTGAAGCCAATTAAGTTTAACGCCCTGCAGCCAGCCGTGGCAGTCCAGGTACAACTGTGCTGTCTGCTTGCTGACTGACAGTCACCAACCTCCAGCTGCAGAGGCCAAGAGAAGCCACAGCCAGCAGCTGAACCGCTGCTACTGTGGAGGTCCCAGAGCCCTTGCCACCCACTGAGGTGAGGCTTTCAAGGGAGAAGCCTGCCTCCTGGCTGTGCGGAGCATCAGCAAGGGAGCCAGGCAGGAGCCTAGAGGACAGGGTCATCCCTGCCTCCTTCATACTACTCCACAAACTCTGGAAGCTGTCACTCTCTCAAACAAGGTTGACCCCCAAGCCCAGGCCTCTTACCAGTCCAGCTCCGGGGGTCTCCACCTGCCCAGCTGTGGGGAACATTTCCAAAGCAGTGCATTCCAGTGGCAAACTGAAGCTCCTGGAGTGGGTGACTTCTCCAGGCGTGCAGGGTGGTTAAGGTCAAATTCAAAACCAGGAGAACACTGGAGGTGGTGCCCCACACACACAGCCTTTTTGAGAGCCACGGCGTGGGCTGAGCACATCACCTCAGACCCTGTTCTCCACACCATGTTAAGGGGTAGGGTTTTCCCCGCAGTGCCCACAACCTCCAGAATGACCTGCTCAAGATCACACAGCTGCCAATGCAAAGAGTGCACCAAGCCCAGGTATGCCCTCACCTCCCCCACCTTGCTCTGTCCAGCCCCACTGAAAATGTAGTCTTTTGGTTACACAGAGAGAGGAGCTCCAAATGCCTGCAGAAAATTCCCAAGTAAATCAGACTACAGTTTAATAAGCTTGGGTTTAGAAGAAGATATAATCAGAGGAGCAAAATACAATAAGATAAAATAAATGAAAGGAAAGAAAGGAAAAGAAATATCAGCTGCAGAAATGATAGTCAGCACCATGGCTCTGGGCCACATCCAGGACACTGTAAAATCTCCCTATGGAAATGAACAGCTTAAGCATTTAGGGCCTAACGTCAGGGGATCCCTGTAGCTGGGGGTCCTACTGGAAGCAGAGGGGAGACGGCCCACAAGAAAAATCACAACAGTGGTGCACGCTGTGATCCCAGCTCCTTAGGAGGTTGAGGCAGGAGAACCCATAGTTCCTGGACACCCTGGGCAACTTAGTGAGACCCTATCTCAAAATAAAATATAAAAAGGGCTGGATGTACCTCAGTGATAGTGTGCTTGCCTAACATGTGCCAGGCCTAGGGTTTAATCCCAAATACTACAAAGAAGAAAGAAAATTTATACATGAAATCCCAGATTCTCCCATACAGAGACCTCAAAGACTACCAAGCCAGAGACCCAGTGGTTTCTGCTGCAGAAAAATGCTATAGGAGAGGAGGTACAGATTCAGGTTCAAATCCGGGCTTTGCCACTTAGTGGCTATGTGACCCTGGGCAAGCCACTTAGCTTTGCTAGACTTTGGATCTGAGTAACCAGAAGAGCAACCGGAGCATGAGTTATTGAGGATGAAGAGTGGCCAGGGGGAGAAGGGCCCCAACTCTGACATGGGACACTTTCAACAAACTCTCTTTGGGATTTTTTTTTTACACATGTAGAGATTCCATTGCTGGTGGATTTCATGTAGATTCATTTTGATTACTCTTTCCCTGGATAGAAAGTCACACAAACTCATAGTGGAAAACTTGGGCGGGGGCGTTGAAAATATACAAAGAAAATTAAGTCACTAGCTATCACACTTCCCAGATAAAACCAGGTACTTCCACCCGTCTTCATTCTTGGTGAGGTGTGGATGGGTGGACAAATTTAAATCCCAACTTGTCTTTGCTGAATTTTTTAATCTTAAGTATTTTCTGATGTCATTCTAAATTTGTAAGAAAAACTTGAGAGATTTTAAGCAGGTTACCAATGTAAATATTGGATGAATGCCAAGGGCATCCAGGTAGCCTGGTCTGGGTACAGTGCTCTCTTCTTCAATAGCCCACCACCCTCAAATACACCTTGGGGAGTCAGGACCAGGATGAGAAGCACTACATCTACCCCTTCCTCCCAGCCCCAGTGATGAGAGAGGGTCTTACTCAACAGCTCACAAGGGCCTGCCTAGATTACAACAAACTAATGACATGGCTGTGCAGACCGATTAAACTGCACAATAGAAAAATTACAGGGCTGTTTGATCTGACAATATGAGATTAATTTATCAATACAGCTTATGTGGCACTGGAGAGATAACAGCTCAAAAAAAAAAATAAGCATTTCTTACAGACCTCTCTTGCAACTGGGATCTCTTGGCCTCAGAGGCCTCCAAAGCAGGAATCATAAAGCAAACTTTCCAGGGGATGCAGGGCAGAGAGGTACAGAACAGCTGTCTGCTAAGCAACTAAAATTCATGTCTGAGCTCAGGTTCTCTGTAACACAGGAACAAGCAGGGACACAGGCACCCAACACAAACACCTGCACAAATCCACATACGCACACATACACATCCCTCCAATGCTTGCTCAGTGCTGAACCTGTCTCACAATCCATTCTCAAACCTCACAGCAAGGCTACAAGGCAAGTACTATTACTGTCCCCATTTTACTGATCAGGAAATGAAGGCAAAGAGAGGTGCTGCTGACAAGTAGTAGCCTAGGAGTTTTATGCTCTTAATGCTGAAACTGCCTTTTAATACTGCAACCATGTTATTTGGCACCTACAGTTCCTAGAGTGCACGCGCATGCTGTTTGGCACAGGACTCCAAATAGCCTCTGGGTGAATTCCACATCTTCCCTGTGGTAGGTGGGAAGCCAAGGCACAGGGAGCTCCAAGACCGGCCCGGGATGTTCAGGTTGAACTGCACCATCATCACAGACTGAAACAGCAGGATACTAGCACTTTGGCGTGATTGGCATCTGTAACCTATCATCAGAGTACCCACTCCTAGACTGTGGAGTATCAGGCACTATGCTAAGGACTGGGGAGTTCTCACAACCAGCCTAGGAGGTAAGTGCTACTATTAATAGCTGTCCTGATCTTGTTTCATGTTGCTATAACAGAATATCTTGCACTTGGGGATCTGTAATTTATTTCTCATGGTTCTGAAAGTCAGAAAGTCCAATATCAAGGTGTCAGCCTCAGACATGACCTTCTTGCTGTGTCATCCTGTGACAGAAGACAGAAAAGAAAGTGTATAACTGTGTGTAAGACAGAGAGAGAGAGATGGGGAGAGGAGCTCGGAGGGAGCCAAACTCAGCCTTCCGTAAGGAGCCCACTCAGAGACAACAAACCTACTCAGTGATGTTGAAGCCACTGCCTCAGTGATGGCATCCATATACTTACTAAGGCAGAGCAAACCTCTTATTGCACTGAGGATTAAGTTTTCAACCCAGGAACATAATCTAATCCCACTGAGCAACTGCAAATAAAGAAACTGAGGCCAGAGAGGTTTAGTGACTCAGTAAACACCCCACAGTCAGACAGTGGCCACTGAGATTCAAGGTTCCTAGAGGGCAGGTAGAATCCTTTGCGAGATGCTGGGCTGCCTCACTGAGCAGCTAGCAAGCTAAACCCATCAGCAGTGTGATGAGAGATGATAGAGGGTTAATCAGAAAGCAGGGGGAGAGGGGAGGGAGGCTGGCCAGAGGGTGATGGCTGCAGCAAGAAGTCACTTATCTCCCCCACCCTCCAGCCAGACCTGCAGGTGGGAGGGAGGGGGGCTATCTGAAAGCAGATGTCAGTTCCATCTGGGTCACCCCCAACACAAGGCCCCAGGACAGACAGTGACCTTCCCCAGAATCAGCCGAATGGAACGTCCTTGACCAGCTTGCCAGAGCAAAGCATCCCACCAAGGCCACCGGGAGGACTCAGTGGCTTGAGTCGCCAATCGTGAGCGCTCAGTGCTGGTCGCAGCTGTGGCCCCTGCTGCCTCACTGCTCCTGTCAGCCCCAGAGCGCCTCTCTGCCCACATGTTAGGAAGACAGGAGCAGCTGGCCGGCAGAAGACCACACGAGGGATGAGAGGGCAAAGACCCTGGTCCACAAGGGTGGGTAGGGGCTGAGATTCCCCCAGTGGGCAGATATCCCAGAGTAGGGCTTGGGCGTTCCCGGTGTGCCCAGAAGCAGAACTAGGATGGCCCAGTGTGTGGAGACAGCAATGAGGAATGATAAGAGGAAATGTGCCACTGTGGTCTTGGCCAGGGTGGGCAACCTCTCCAGGTTGCCATTTGCTTCCTCGTGTATAAAATGGGCATAAGGAAATTATTTCCCTCCTTAGGCCATGGGAGGGTTAAATGAGATGTTGCGCATTAAAATGAGACATTAGCACAAAGTAAGTCCTGGATTGGGGTGGCTGTTTCTGTTATTAACAGGGCAGGACAGCAGACAGGAAGCTATGGTACAGGTTAGGGAGTGGAGACAAAGGCAATGTTCCAAAGGCAGAAGACAGTGAGTCAAGGAATCTGGGACAGGGGACAAGTTGGGAGCAGCCAGATGACATCCACCCGTCCACTCTCTGGAACTGCAGAAATCACAGGACACACAGGTGGCCCCAGGCAATACCCACAAGACTGGGAGATTCCACTGTGGCCTGAGGCGGGGGACTGCTGTGGTCTGGCGCAGTGTGACATAGGATGCTCCTTGAAGAGCTGGTACTGACACTGGAAGACCACAGCCTGACTCACTCATCCCAAAGTGGGACTGAGTTGGAAGGCCCGTGTGAGGAACAGCCTGGAAAGGATGAGGTCCAAGTTCAGAACGGATTCTCCCTGCACCAGGCACCAAAGCTCAGAACGCTGAAATGATGGGGGGTGTAGGGCAAGGGCATGGTGAGAAGTCAGCCTGCTGAGTCTGAGCCCTCAACAGCAAGTAGTCAGGGTCTGGCACAGGACAGCAAGCCCAGCACCTATAGGCCCCCAAAATCTGCTCCCTAGGGCCTGAACAAGCTGGGTCTAAACTCTTCTCCACCTCCCAGCTGAGCAACTTCAATACATTATCCACAAATCTCAGAGCCTCAGCTTCCTCCTCTGCCCAGTATTAATTCTGACTTCAGGGAAACACTGTAACTACTCCTGAGATTATCTCTGCAAAGTCCTCAGCAAGTGCTGGAACATATGAAAACTTCAATCATCAGGAGTTATCACAACCTTCATCTGTATTGTCGTCCTGTCATTTGGCCTGTGATGCAGCTTCTTCAGCAAGAATGCACTGCCCACTGGGTGGCCGTGACGCCGAGGAGCCAAGTCTGATAAGTCTGGCCTGCCGCTGACCTTGAGGCATCCCTGTCTCATTAGGGAGGCAGCTACATAAATTATCCTGGCACCATGGAGGCGGGCAGGACAGCAGAGGTGTGAGTCCCCCACACTAGGAGCCAGGGAGGCGGCAGGGCTCTGCCTGGTGAGCTGGAGGATAAACAAACCCTTGGGAAGCGAGGTGTGGCCTGCAGCACTGCTTTGCAAAGCAGACTATATGGATCGTGTGCTTTTCTATTTGCCTATAATTATCTCCACTTTATTCTCCCGTAGTAGTTAGTGAGGTTCTTTTCTTTTAAATGCCAGCCAGTAACAAGAAGACTTAGGAACGCTGCTATTTGCTGCAGAGCTACAAATAGGGAAGCCTAGGGGCCAAAGGTGAAAAGTCTTACCCCAGGATGAAACCAAGGGGGCTGGGAAGACACCCAGTGGGTCTCTACCTCTGAACCTGGAGCTTCACTTTCCTACCTGCGTCAGTGTTACATGAGAGATGCCATTTCTGCACAAGATAGAAGGGAGGGAGGGAGGAAGAAAGGAAGGAAGGAAGTGAAAGGAAAGAAAGAAAGAGAGAGAGAGAGAAAGAAGGAAAGAAGGAAAAAGAAAAGAAAGAAAGAGGCATTAAACATTGGGTTTAAACAGATCTGGGTTCTCTGCTGAGCTGCAGAAGTACCTCCTCCCACATGCATTCTCTCTCTCCCTCTCTCTCTCTCTCTCTCTCTCTCTCTCT